AGCCCGGTCCACCCGGCCGCGGACTCAGACAACAACAACAACATCACTGCCTTTCATCAGTACCCACTTTTATCCCCATCTTGCATCAATTTACGATGATAGCGAAAGACTATCTAGGGAACGCGCGACTGTGTTTCGTACCTGGTATTGCCGTCCTGCCTGTTGACGATAAACACCGGCAAGATTTGATATTCGCGAGAAAGAAGGATGACTCATATATTGTTAGGCTGATACACTGTGGGAACACCAGTCGAGACTGCAGAGCGCGCTTGCTAAGACAGTAGAGACTTGAGCCCGGTTAACCCGGCCGTAGACTCAGACAGCTACAACAACCTCGCTACCTTCCATTAATACCCAGTTTGATCCTCCTCTTGAATTATGTATTGATGCCCTCCAGGTGGGTTCATCGACGAAATAAAGAGATAACATCTATTTTTAATTGGAATCGACGCAGTAAGTCGCCTCTGGAGCTAGCCTCTTGTAGCATAGTTAGGTGCACAGCGTCGCGGGTTATGGAAACATCCTAGGAAAAGGCGTCAGCTTCTGGCGAATGCTAGTGCATAAAGCTAGTCGATGCACGAGGGGCCCAACCCGCGCATTTGACTATAGTCTGCGCAGACCTGGTAGTAATCTCGGCATATCTTACAAAATGACGCCCTGAGCGACCTCTCTATCTCTTTTCAGCATCTTCCGCACGCCTGCCTTTCGCACGAGTACCGCGTCCAGACTAATATCTTGCGGGTGGTCACAATGATTTTCACACCACCGACTTCCCTCCCCGCCTTGCCGTCGCCTTTACCACTCCAAGATTTGGCTGGGGAATTTGCTTTGGAGACACATCTACACAAAACGAAGCAATCTAACAAAGCACACTCGTCGGCTACCTGGACTGACGCAGCGACCAACCAGACATGGACGACGGATGCGATTATTGCTCGTGTCGGGGAGGTGGCAACAGCTTTGAGCGTGGCGTGGCGGATCAAACCTGGGCAAAAGTGGCACAAAATAGTCGGCCTTCTGACGTCCAATTACGTGGGTTTTCCCCCGGCGCTTCCTCCCCTGAATAGAAGATCTAATTCGTGTCTAGGCTGATGCACTAATTCTTTCATGGGCTATTCATCGCCTTGGCGGCGGCTGCCTTATGTTGCAACCAACAAGCTCCGCTGACGAGATCGCCGGACACCTCGATCGGGTACCGCCATGCGCGCTTTTTGCATCCGAAGATCTGCTCTCTCTGGGAAAGGATGCCGTTCAGCGGAGCTCTATGGCTTCAAAATTACAGCTCTACAGGCTCTCCTTGCCTACGGCGGATTCCAAGCTATTTCAAGAATCATCCGAAATCAGTTCCCTTGAAGACTTGCTTATGGCCAGTAAGAATCTTCCTGCGACACCGAAAAGCACTCTTTCTGCCGACGAAGCCGCTCATCGTGTAGCATATTGCTGTACTACAAGCGGCACTGGGGGTTTACAAGTAAGCCTTGAGCATTATACAGCCCGCCTGACACTTCTGGCAACCTACTAACTTCCCATGAATTGTAGCGTGTTGTGGCAATGACGCACAAGAACGTAGTCGCCTGCATGTTGCAGGTCTCACAGTTCTACACGGCTACTAGAGGGAGCGGGCCCGAGACCCATTTGGGCTTCTTACCCTTCAACCATATCTATGGCCTTCTAATTATTCACTCTATGTTACACCTAGGCGACAGCGTTGTCATCCATCGCGGTTTCAACCTTATGGAAGTCTTGACTTCTATCGGCAAGAATCGCATTAACAATCTGTTTCTGGTCAGTCTAAGTTATAGGACAATTCGTCATGCACTTGCTCAATTCTTAAACCATTTTTGTGTCGTAAGCTAATCGATCCAGGTTCCACCAATCATTAATGCTATGTCTCGAAACGCAGCTATATTGAGTAAATTTGACCTGAGCTCCGTTACATCAATCACTTCTGGTGGCGGACCTCTAAAGAAAGAAGATTTTATGAAGATGCAAGTTGCGCAACCCAATTGGCGCATTTTAAGCGGGTGGGGTAAGCTCACTCGCGCTCTCGAATGTAGCGCAAAAGATCTGATACTAAGATTGGAAACTTTATAGGGCAAACTGAGGGTTGCGGTGTTGGAACCCTTTCCGGCGTCAATGATATATTTCCTGGTTCGAGCGGACCGTTACTACCGGGAGTCCGCATCCGGTTGAGGGACGATGATGGCCGCGAAGTCGAGTCTCTGGAAGAGATGGGGGAGATTGAGATTGCATCTCCAAGCATCCTGAGTGGGTATATTGACCACGCTGACGACGCAATTCTCACGTCGGCAAACGATGCGGATTTCTGGTGGTCGACGGGAGATGTCGGGCTTTTCCGCAAGAGCCCTAGTGGTCAGCCTCATCTGTTCGTTGTAGATCGTATTCGCGACATGATTAAAGTCAAGGTTAGTCAGGGCGCGATGAAAGACCTGCGTGACACACACAAGACTGCGTGTTGACGAGTTGTATAGGGGAACCAAGTCGCACCCGGCCAGATTGAAGCCCACTTGAGTCAACATGCCGCTGTTGCTGAGAACGCCGTCATTGGTGTTGCCGACGAAATAGCGGGTGAGCGAGCCTTGGCCTTCGTGGTTCGAGACCCTACATATGCACCTAATGAGAGCGAGGCCCAGCTTCGCCAAATAATCCGGGATCACAACGACCTAATCTTGCCCGAGGTGTGCCGTCTGCAGGATCGAATTCTCTTTGTGGATGCAATCCCGAAAAGTGCGAGCGGCAAAGTGCTGAAACGAGAATTGAGGAAGCAAGTGGCGACGTAATCGCTCTTAGAGAGCTCTACCAAAACCACACTTTAAAGCGGTGAAAATGGGTTGGAAAATATCTTGCTCTATCAATTAAGGGTGATATCTTGATGCGTCCAACTGTCGTGGTCATCATGCTACACTGGGTCCTGTTGTTTGCTTCTCAACGACATTCCCTAGTATGGCGAGCCACCTAATTTAGGTAACCACGTTACGACGATTCGACGCGCATGTCCTCTAATTTACTAACATTTCCAAGTCACACGCCCTAGATGTCATTCACAGATCACAGCCAAGATAACGTACACAGCGGCTGCTGCTGCACCCGCAGTACAAATGCTAACATTCCGCACTTAGAGCTAGATTTTTCCTTCCTCGTCTTGAATTCCACAAACCTAGTGCTTGGTCACTACTTGCTTCCCACTTTAGTATCTTATAGCTAGAGGAGAATTTATGAAAGGAAATCTAGCAACTATAGCAACCTACCTTGGATCAAGGTAGATGTCTGTTTTTATATACACCTAAGCAGAACAGGACAACCAAATCTCCAAACAAGATAATCATAACCAGAGCTAGAGCTGTAATCGAGGACTCTATTCTACCTTTTTGGATTACAAGACTATACTAACAAGTATGTACTTCTTATAGTCAGAACAAGTAGAAATTTAACATTTGAGAGCCTACTATAGCAATTATATGCTAGTTCAGGGGATAAGACAGCAGAGTTCATAGACCTTACAAGTCGAAACTTTTAGCTGCAAAGCCTATCTTTACATTCTTATCACGAGGAGGCCAAAGCTAGCTAAGTTTACAGCAAGGACTAGGATTGTATAGTTTCCAGGATTCTATGAACAATCTTTACAAATTATAAGTACATAACAGAAGGCTTGATAAGACTTCTATAAAACAGCGTAAATTGATGCAAGATGGGGATAAAAGTGGGTACTGATGAAAGGCAGTGATGTTGTTGTTGTTGTCTGAGTCCGCGGCCGGGTGGACCGGGCT